TAACGTAATTTTAGCAAACATGAGGGAATATTCTTCCAACTGGAATCGAAAATGACATTAGGTTAATCAACTGGTCGGTCGAATCTTTCGTGCATTAAAGGGGAGCTTAGGGTCCAGAGGTGGAGCAGGGGTGTGGAGCAGGACTGCCCCCGAAGGTTGCAAGTCAAGGCTAGGCACTTTCACTCGAGAGTAGTCTTGGGAGCGTGCCTCGTGCCGGCTTCCCACCTTATTTTATTATTTGCTTTTCTGTTGAATCATTAGCGAAACGATTGAACATCGTGGTAAAACAGCACTGGCAGTTTATGTTGCATACTTTCGATCTGCGCATGTAACTCCGACGTAAACCCCAAATGGAAAAAAATTAATTCCTTATTTAAATAGGATTACAAATAGAAAGAATAAAAATAAAAATTATAGAATCCCCTGAAATTTTCTTCTATTTCGAGGTCATAAATCTGAGTGACTTGTTTAAATCGCAAAATATTTTAAGATGATATTTTTAAGTCACAAAAAGTACTCTTAAGGCGTTTAAGAAAAGTTGTAAAATATTCCCACATAAATTTTGTAAGAATAAAATATTTTTATATCTTTATGATAGGAATATCCTGAATAAAAATAAAAAAGACGACATTATTGATACCTAGTCTTAACTTCTCACTTTCAACGTGAATATCCTTATGCAAAGAATTGCGCGACTTGGTGAAAGAACTTTGTGATGTCATTCTGTCGTGGAATATTTTTCTATAACGCGGAAGAAGGATATATATTCTAGGCATTTCATGCATTAATCAATAGAGCGATATCCTTGAGCAGTATATTAATTCCGCTCATATAACAATGGTATCGTTATTTTCGAATTAACTCAACAAATATTGCTACGTTAAATGATTCCGAAATTATACATTGTTAGTAAATATATGCCGACGATCCTTAATATTCGTGGGGAGTTCAGTGTCCTTCGCCGAGGACATGTGCAGGTGGAATTCGTAATTTTGATACTCTATATGTACTCTGATATTTCGTAATCGCGGTTCATTAGACGAGAACGAAAGGGAAAGGAAAGGATAATTAACACTTATTGAGAAAGGTTAATGACACGATAAATTGGCGGATAAATTTGAGAGCTCATTAATGAGCATCCAGATAATTTACGTAGCTTGATTAGCGTCGAGAAAGTAAGGAATAGAGGCAGAGGAAAACCAGGAAGAGAAGAAGACTATCATCTTTAATTGTAAATTAATCACGTATGAATGAGGAAATAAATACTCTCCTAAATTCCACGTCAAAGGACCAAGCTGCACCCTAATCTTCCCAAATGATCTCTCTTACTATCCCAACAACTTGAACAAACCTCATCTCAAGAAGTATGAAAGATAACTCAATTAGCAGGACAAGCATTTATGCTTTCATGCTTACAGGCTCGCTGGGCCAGAAGCAGCAACAGGACGACCCGTGCCAGACAAAGTCGCGAGTGGTGGGCGACACTGAGTACTGCGATCGCTATTGGGAATGCGTGAACGGTCGCCCAGAGCTGTTCGATTGTCCGAATGGTCTTGTATTCGCCGGCAAGCACCGCGGTGTCACCGAGGGCTGCGATTATCCGTGGCGTGCGAACTACTGTGACGGCAAACGCCAGGCAAATCCACCGATCCCGACCGAGCACTGTGACTGGTTATATGGAATCTTTGGCCACGAAACTTCCTGCACCAGGTACTGGACTTGCTGGAACGGCACCGCCACTGAGCAGCTCTGCATAGGTGGTCTGCTCTATAATGAACGGGCTAGATCCTGCGACTGGCCCGAGAACGTCGAGGGATGCCAAAAGCATCGTAAGTACGATGATCGGCAAGTCGAGAGATAGCCAGGGGATTTTATCAAAAAGTTTGGATATTAGAATTTATGTATTAGAACTTGAGATGATTCATGGAAAAATACAAAACGGAATATTATTATCTCGTATAAGAAACTATGTTAATGATCACATACTGTTTTATAAAAAAAAAAAACAAGTATTTTGAGGAATAAGCGGGATGTTCTGCAAATAGCATTCGATTCTTATCGACTACTTTAAATCCACAGTTGGATCTTTTTGCTTTCTTATTTATCTTTGCAATAACGTTTATCTTGGGAATTAATTGGCATTCGGCTAAATTCAGCGGATACATTTTTAAGATGCGGTTTTTAGGCAGATTTAATTCGCACAAGAAGCGGAATCTTAACGATTATTTTCATTTTCGGAAGTGGGCGGACGCGATGTGTTTCCTCGTGCCTACTTCTCGGCTTCTTCCAGGAGTCAGTGCCCAAGGAAAAATGGGCGAGGCACTTAATTAGCATTCGAAGTGAATTCTTGTCGCGCCTTTCTCCCCTTCTTCGCCCTCGGGATACGATAAAACACGTTTATTATTAATTCGCATCGCCTCTCTCTGAATGTCAAACACTAGTTGATGCATCGATCGTACGCGAGATCGTATTTCTTTTTTTCATAAGGTTGGAAGTAATAAAAGATATTTCAAGATTGAAATAAATATTGAATATTTCTTACAACATTTTAAAGTACTTCTACATATAAAAATATTCGGTTTAAATATTGATAATGGGATTAATGATTAGTGACAAATTAACGCGAATAATAATTTGTCACTAAATAATTAGTGATAAATTACTTTATCGATACTTTTGAATTCTTACAGAAGTCTCGAAAATCACGCTAATAACCTCACACGCATAGCAAAGTGAAAGAAGGAAATAAGAGACATTCACACGAATGTATATACTGCATAATTAAATTTCGAATTAATTTATCATTGGTAGATCCCGAACGAAAGTTTTCGACTTTCACTGAATCGATATCGTCAGTTTGCAATAAAACAACAAGAAATTCATTAAAAACGATCAACCAATTTGCAATGCAAAATCGTATTCTTTATTTTTATTTTAACAAAATATTTTACTTTGAATCGTTTAACAAAATTTTATCAAAATTATAGATAATGATTGGTATATTTACATATATGCATATGAACTATACGATCTTGCGTGTCTCGATCGTCATTAACTAGTTCCTCGAAAGCGTCAGAAGCCCCTCTAAGCGCTCGCCTCAGTTAGACTAGGAATAAGACACAACTTGCTTGCAGCACTCTGTAACGACGACGCAAACGGCAATGTGCCTCTGGGCAAGTCGTGCAACCGTTACTGGCAGTGCCAGGGTGGTTATCCGCGGTTGCAGCGCTGCCCGGCCATGCTGGTGTTCGACAGGCGGTCATTGAGGTGCGTGGTACCGCCGACGGAGGACTGCGATGTTCCCACGACACCGCCGGCCACCGAGGGCGAGTTGCCCGATGGTCGCAACGAGCAGGAACCTGAGGAGGAGAACCTGCCGCCTGGCGTGCCACCTCTGCCATCGGGTGCCCTGCCGATTCCTCTGCGAACGCGTTCCAGGAACTAAAGTCGCAACAGGTCGTCCTGTCCGACCTGGAAGGACGAAGGAAGCACCAGGAGATCCCTTTTCGACGAGCGAGATCCCGGAGATCGTCGATCGATGCGGAGAGCTCGAGCAATTCTCTCACCAAATCTCCTCAGATTCTCGCGTGATTTTGCGTTCCGCAATTTTATAATTCTAGAATTCTCATAGGATTACATTTTTGAGATTTTTAAAATTCTTAGATCTTTTTTAATGTCCCGAAATTGTCCTGTATGTCGGAGAAATTAAAGTCCCGCGATTCCTCAAGGAAAAATTCTGTTCTTTCTTGTAGATAAAATCTTTATTTTATCTTCATCGCAAGGATTTGATTTTCAGATACGCATATAAAATTCAAATTTGAGTAAAAGTGAGAGTGGTAATTACCTATAATTACACGGTCCGGTTCATTCTAATTAATGAGCAACAAATTTATTATTTCAATTAATTCTGGTATAAAAAGAGTGAAAAGTTTATCAATTGAATGATTTAATTTGAGTTCTGAGATAACTCATGAAAAATGGAATAAAACTTTCTAACCTTCAGAAAGGTAAAAGTTCTGAAAGACACTTGAATATTTTTATAAATTTAGAAAGACTGGAATAAAATTAACCAAATATGTTATAAAGATTAATTTAAAGAATTCAGACATTCTCTCTTAAAAATATCAAAGAAAACATAAAAATTGCAAACAAAAAGTAATATCGAATAAATTAATTTGATAAAATATGTACAAATATAGGATTGTTTTTGAAGAAACCGAATTAGAGTTAGTAAAAATGAGGAACTATTTTCGAGGACATCCATCGATCCGTCCATTTTGACCGATCGAGCTCTTCTTCCTTTTCAATGGAGGTTCGTATTATTAATTGATAAAATGTTGATTAATGAACATCTCGTTTTTTTCGGTTCCTGGACCGTTCACTACCATTCGCATCAGTCGAGATGTAAATATTTTCCCCGTTCCTGTCACACCCTTTTTCCCCTCCCCTACCCTGCGCTCTCGTACAATAAGGCTCGTACCACGTATATGTAGATCGATTGAAATAAACTGTACGTTGTATATTTTTTATACGCATGTCCAGATTTTATTCAATGTTGCCTGGCTGTACATTGTTATTATATTTATCATAAATACATTATATGTATTACATATCGTATTACATATAAATACACTATATGTACTACATATCGTACTTGCTCTTCACGCACTGTACAATTGGTCCCCTTTAAACGTCTATTAATAATAATTTACGTTCGATATATCTTCGTTTATTGGCAACGCCGAATCAAAATGAAATTTGATAGAAATATACATCTTTTATAATTCTTTTCTTATTAGTTAATTAATTTCCTCTAGTTATTCTTTGTATAAAAATATTTGTATCATTAACATGTTGTAATTTATGTTCGTAATTTTTTTAATTTTTATAATTGATATTTTCCTTAATTTAAACAATTTTTAGAATTAATACGTCCTGTGATAATTCGATTTTTTACTGCTGTACACATTTTTTTTAAACTTCATTTGTAAACTTTCCATTAATATCATTATATCTTTTTGCCAAATTCATTGATTTAAAATTGATGATTATCAGGAGCCTCCACTTTAAATACCATTCGAGCTGAAAGAGACACATAAATATATAATTAGGAAATTAAAATATTTGATCTTATATTCTGCATTAAACTGAGTTATTGGTATCTCGATTTCGAAAAGTATGTGAATTTTTATCGACGATATTATTTTTTGAGTTTGTTTAAATCAAACAAATGTTTCTGATTTGAAGTTTTTAAAACGTAAAATGTACAAACCAGTGAGGAACTTCATCCGGGTCCAGACAAGTCAGGCTCACCGAGTCGAATAGTTTTCCATCTCCGCAGGTGAGAAGTCGCGGATGTCCGTCGACACAGGTGATCAACCTACCGCAGTCACTCGGTACGGGGAATCTAAAAATCGTGCCATTTGTGCCAAATTTTTGGTTTACGTAAAGAAATATAAAAATCTTAAATTATAGTTTAATATCAGTTTAATAAAAATTGCTCTCTTTAAAAACTTACAGTGAAATATTTATGACTCCGTGACCAAGAAAAAATATAATAATTGCAAGTTATTGCAATATAAAGAAGCTACGCGGTTTTCAGATTATTTCTGTCTTGACACATCGTTAGATACCAACGTTTTATGAATATTGCAGTTCACTTTATTAAGGCGAAAAGCAATTTGATACAATATCAGGTTCATGAAACGTTAATATTTAATATCACACACGGAGATAATTCGCAAAAAAATCGCGTAGCTTCTTTGAAAAAGATACCCGTGGAAACCCTCAAAAGTATTAAATTATTGCAATATTAAATAATAAAAAGTATTGTAAACTTTTTTATTTTTATCTATCTTGGACACTGTTTTAACATTCGAAACATTTTCTGCATGATTCGAGAGGAAAGAATGACGTGTTTATTAACGTAACAAAAAATTAAATATTTGAATAAAATACGCGTGTTTTTTTCTCTTTCTCTCAGTTTTTTTTTAGAAGACGACCGGTTTTTAAATCGAAGCACTACGCACAAACGTCTGACATTTAACGACGTTGATTCCTTTTACTCTCACGATTTTCAGTGGTGGATAATATTTCCTTTCAGTGACTCTTCCTTGTAATAAAAGAAAGAATAAGAAAAAAGAAAGAAAAAGATGAAAAATTTTATTATATCTTGCGGCTGTGTGCAGTAAAATAATTATACACATAATTTTAATAAATTGCAACTGGAAATTTACAGAGTCCATGAAATCATGTAAGAATCTGATGATATGATCAGATTTATACAAGTCTAGATTTTGATTATGATTGTTTGGAATATAATAAGAGATATTAAGCTACCCCGAAAATCTCGAATAATAAGTCACCAGGTTAATTTTTCGGGAAATATTTAAATTAGATATATAATGTGATGAAATTGATTTCTATAAATAGAAAAAAGGAATACTTTGTGTTGTAGAAATTATTACAAGGTTAGCGATTAAAGTAATCATTGAACAAATTATTAATCGATATTGAAAAAAAGAATAATATTGATAACAACTGCTTGCTCACGAAAGATTAAGGAACTAAATTCTTTTAATCTTCCAAGAAGCGAAGAAAGAAAGAAAGCGCGCGAATTAAAAGTGTCGCCTGCCCGGAGCGTTGACCCGCGTTGCTAGTTTTATTTCCGCGTGGATTCTCATTACGAGTGATTTCTCGGAAGTGCGTGTATCCCGTATATAATCACGTAGCACGTACATTACCTCGGGTAGGGCCAGAACTTGGCAGAGGGACTGTTGGGGGGCAGCTTGTGCGGGCACTTGAATCCCACTATAGCTTCGGGGTTGCAGAAAGGGATGAGCTCGTCCGGCCAGACGCACGTGTGGGTCTTGGCGTTATAAACCAGACCAGGATCGCAATGAGCCTGAAGCGGATCACCGTGAACACACTTGATGTAACTGGTGCTGCAACTGTCGCTCTCCGGATACATACCGAATTGATACTCGCAGCCTGGACTGCTAATCGGCGTATCTGCAAAGGGGAAGGCGTTCCTACTTGAGCTGCGTTCCGTTATTTATTACGAGTACTTAAAATTTAGTATACAAACTATAGATTTTCAATATTCGCAACGAATAATGGAAGTAGTCTTAATGTAGTCTTAATTATATCGAGAGTTTTGTAAGGTGACTTGAAAATAAACTAAATGTGTCATTCAATAAACGAAAGAAATTTCTTATTTTATACTTTTTTTTTGTAAATATTGCAAAAGTAGATAATTCTAAATCCTATAACCGAAAGAATATATGTTCAATTAACCATTACATTATGATTTTTTCCTGCATGTATAGTAGAGCAAAATGCATTGACCTGCTATTACTGGTTTTTATTAGCGTCAACTTTTTTGGCGCAATAAAATACGAAAAATAAGACTGGAAACTGGAAAGTCACGCGATTGCGTTGAGACGTTAAGCCGGTTGAGAGATAAGTGATCCAAAGAGATTCACTTGAAAGCGAAATCATTATGATTGGCGTTAACGTGACCCACTAAAGTGCCGCTAAAATCACTTGTTTCGTATGACTTTTACTTTCCTGACATGTTTCTTTCTAATTGACTGATTTTTATCTTCATATAAAATACATAATTTTTTATGAAAAAAAAAAAAAACAATTATATTAATAATAGCATAAATATAATATATATAATAATTATATATATAAATTGTAATACAATAATATATCAACTTTAATATTAATTTTATTCAATTGCAACATGTTTTATATTTTATTTTATGCCATTTCTATATTATACTCTAATATGTATATAGTATTTTTACACATAAAGTTTATACCAAATATTCAATATTTCTCTTAAACGATCAGATAGATAAAGATTGTAAAAACTGTTGGGGTAATAATAAGTAACAGGTGATTCGAATATCACGAATGTAATACTTACAGTCAACCTTGCGATGGCCGCAATCGACAGCCCAATTATAATTGCAATGATTATGGACGGCACCGTGTCCATCGAACAGAAGTCCATTCTCGCAATATTCGAAGGTCAACGTGCCATTCGTGCACAAGAAGAAGGCCCCGCAGTCTTCAGGGTGAGCATAAGCATGAATCCCGTAAGGATCGGGGCATGGCGGGGCATCGAGTAGGGTGGCACCTTGGGCTGTGAAATGAGAGTTTACGTGACAAAAAAATCATTCTTCACTAATAATAATGTATAATGCATCTTTATTCTTTAAGATGCAATTTGAATATTATTATTAACGTTGTAATATTTCTTATATTAAAATATTATTCAAAATGCATACAATTTAAGGTGTGACCACAATAGAAGGAATAAGGAATTAGAAATAAGAAATAAAGATTTCAATCTATCAGAAATCGGATATACCGGAATACATGGTTTCTGATAGATTAGAATCGTTATTTCTTATTCCTAATTCTTTATTCCTTCTATTATGGCTGCACTACTCTCGATATAACATACGTATTATAATGTATTATACTGATTAATACAATACTATTGTGAGTTATATAATTTATGATTTTTATACTAATAAATAATTATTAAATAATCTAAAATAATTGCATATATATATATATATATTTGTATACAATTTAAGTTGGGAAATTTGGGGGGATTATTATTTCAGATTTGATTGCGTTGAAAGTCCGACAACCATATCGGCACGCAATTATAATTTCTGAATTTAATTCATTTAAAATGAATGTAGAATAGTTCAACATCTTAACGTTCAGACCGTTAGTGGCGCTTCTTAAGTTTAAAGTAATATATTTATTTGTATACAATATATAATAATAAATTATGGTATTTTATTATCATATATTATATATAAATAGTATTTAATATTAATCATTACACTGCGAGTGTATAAATATATGCATATGGAGAACAAAGTCAAAACGTTGTATCATAATTATCTAGAAAGAAATACGTGTAAAGCATAAAATTGTATATTTGATCTGGTTTATTTTTTCAAAAAGTGACACATTTTGCAACGCATTGTCTTGTTCGAATAAACAAAAACAAAAATATGTATTTTAATGAAAAACAGGACATTATCGATTAAGTTTGATTGACTTATCGAGAAATTGAAAAGATTCAATTCGCATGACAGCGAATGTCGGTTATCCTGAACTTTTTCGTAAACGTGTGTTGCGACAAAGGGTGTGTATGACGGGCATCATGATTATTTTCTTATACGTATATATAGAAATGTAAAAAAAGATACAACAACACAAACAATTTATAAAATATTTAAATTTTTTTTTCTTGAAATGGAATTTCGAGACTGAAAAAAAATAGTCGATAAATAGTCGGTAAATTATTTTTGCTTATAACCTTGCAGTATAAAAGAAATGCAGTATAAAAAAAATAAAAAATTTTTAATATTGAAATGATGTCATATATTAAAAAATGAATCATTTCAAAATATAAATCAAAACATTCAACAATTATTAAAAGATTAGGAAAAGATGTGTTAAGCGCAATTTTTTTGAAAAATAAAGTTTGTTATTAAAAAAATATCGAAAAACCATCCTGTTCCACAATTCGGTTACATCGTAAATCGCTTCGTTACATTTTTCATCGATCACCTCGGAATGTCCGCCGTTATGTCATACACGCAGATCTTAACATATGGTGTCTCGTTGGTGAAAGTCTCGCGGAGGGTGATGTCGCAACCTATCAGGAGTCCATGGAGAAGAAGAAAGTATTTACGCCTGCGAAGAGGCAGTCCTTCCTCGATGCACAGGTGAAGACGACAAGCGGATTCCGAGGCGAAGATGCACACACGATGCGAGATATAGGGTCGCGCGTAGGCGAGGTGAAGGTAACTACCTCGCGGGTTACGGTGGTTGGCGGTGGCGGTGGTGGTGGACTTACCACGTGCCAGGATTGCCAGGAGCAGCAGCAGGGTCACGCTCCTCGAATAGCTCATCTTTCCGGCACTCAGTTCGGCTTGACTACTGTCTCTGACGGCGAAGTTGACGATTGGCGCGCACTTTAGGTGTCGGCCTCGGTACACCTCCGAACAGTCCCGTCTCCCTTCACTCCCTTCACCGCGGCTTCACCAAACCCCACCAGGATCCCCCTTGATCGCCGCTGGTTTGCCTACGTGCTCGGGCTGCCGACCAGCGGCGCCGAGAGTGATGAATTTCGTCCGGGTGCCACGCTTGGATCCTTCAGTGTCGTGAGATATATCGATTTGGAGAGAGAAGAGAATTTAAGCTGAATAAATTGCCAAGCTGTTGGAGAAAGTCGGGAAAGAGATCTCTACAATATGTAAAA